TATTATTATTGTTTCTAATATTAATAATAGATACAAAGCCACTTTGACTCTCTTGCAGGAGAGATAAAGCGAGATCTAAGTAAATATAATTATGTAATTATAATGTAATACTACTACTAATAAATTCTAATACTAATAATAGATACATAACCACTTTGAGTCTCTTTCAGGAGATATAAAGTGGGGTATTAATAATAATACTAACAATAATAATAATGTTATATAATGCCCAAACTTTGCACGAGAAGATCTTACTTAATAATAGTAATAATAATAATAACAATAATAATGTGTTGAGACCTAGAAACATTTATTAATGTTCCATAGACACCATTATTATTATTATTATTATTATTATTATTATTATTAGATTTAAATAATAATACCCAAACTTTGCATGAAAAGAGCTTATTTAATAATAATAATAATAATAATAATAATAATAATAATAATGTGCTGAGACCCAGAAACATTTATTTATGTTCCAGATACCATTATTATTATTATTATTATTATTATTATTATTATTATTATTATTATTATTTAAATAACTACCCAAGCTTTGCATGAAAGGAAGTATAGATCTTAATAATGATGATGATAATAATGTGACAAATGCAACAGTGACAAATGCAAGATACTCCACTTTGGCAGAAAAAATGAAATGCAAAGATACAGAATGGGGGACGAGGCCTGGCTCGAGAGCAGTACGTGTGAAAAAGATCTTGGAGTCCTCGTGGACAGGAAGTTAAACATGAGCCAACAATGTGATGTGGCGGCAAAAAAAGCCAATGGGATTTTGGCCTGCATCAATAGGAGCATAGTGTCTAGATCTAGGGAAGTCATGCTACCCCTCTATTCTGCTTTGGTTAGACCACATCTGGAATATTGTGTCCAATTCTGGGCACCACAATTCAAGAGAGATATTGACAAGCTGGAATGTGTCCAGAGGAGGGCGACTAAAATGATAAAAGGTCTGGAGAACAAGCCCTATGAGGAGCGGCTTAAGGAGCTGGGCATGTTTAGCCTGAAGAAGAGAAGGCTGAGAGGAGATATGATAGCCATGTATAAATATGTGAGAGGAAGCCACAGGGAGGAGGGAGCAAGCTGCTTCCCTGGAGACTGGAGACTAGGACAAGGAACAATGGCTTCAAACTACAAGAGAGGAGATTCCATCTGAACATTAGGAAGAACTTCCTGACTGTGAGAGCCGTTCAGCAGTGGAACTCTCTGCCCCGGAGTGTGGTGGAGGCTCCTTCTTTGGAAGCTTTTAAGCAGAGGCTGGATGGCCATCTGTCAGGGGTGATTTGAATGCAATATTCCTGCTTCTTGGCAGAATGGGTTTGGACTGGATGGCCCAGGAGGTCTCTTCCAACTCTTTGATTCTATGATTCTATGTGTTGAGACCCAGAAACATTTATTTATGTTCCATAGACACCATTATTATTATTATTATTATTATTATTACTATTATTATTATTATTATTATTATTATTATTATTATATTTAAATAATAATACCCAAGCTTTGCATGAAAAGATCTTACTATAATAATAATAATAATAATAATAATAATAATAATAATGTGTTGAGTCCCAGGAATATTTTTATTGATGTTCCATAGACATTATTATTATTGTTGCTATTATTATTATTATTATTGCATTCATTCTACCTTGTTTCTTCTACCTTGTGTTTGCTGCAGCGCATGCCTGGGCGATGGGGCTGAAGAGCGCCCAGAAGGCCCTCTTCCCGCTCCGCTCGGTGTCGGACGTGGTGCGCCTCTTTGAGCTGGAGCTGCGCCGCGAGCAGCCCGACCTGGTGCTGCTCTCCCTGGTGCTGGGCTTCGTGGAGCACTTCTTGGCCGTCAACCGGGTGCTGCCCACCAACGTGCCGGGCATCAGCTTCGAGCCGGCCCAAGGCCCCGAGAGCCTGACCTACTTCCCGGTGGCCGACCTCAGCATCGTGGGCGCCCTCCACGCCCGCTTCACCGCCCAGATCCGGGGGGCCGTCGACCTCTCGCTCTACCCCCGGCCGGACGGGTACTCCTCCCGGGAGCTGGTCAAGAAAGTCTCGGACGTCATCTGGAACAGCCTGAGCCGCTCCTACTTCAAGGATCGGGCCCACATCCAGTCCCTCTTCAGCTTCATCACAGGTGAGGGTGGTAACAACAACAACAACACTTTTATATTCCGCCCTTCTCCCTGAGGGGATTCAGAACGGATTACAGCATATAAACAAACACAGGCAAAACATTCAATGCCTTTTTACAATGAAATACAATGAGACACAAATACACAGACAAAGGCAAAGGCTTCTCCTTTCATTCCTGGCTTTGGAGGCGGTGTTCATCTCCAACTCTGGGAGAGAGGCTCCTTCTCCCCAAGGGGACTCCAATTGGATTACAACATATAAACAAACACAGGCAAACATTCAATGCCTTTTTGCAATGAAATACAAGGAGACACAAATACACAGGCAAAGGCAAATGCTTCTCCTTTCATTCCCAGCTCTGGAGGCGGTGCTCATCTCCATTACTAAGCCAAAGACCCTGAGGGGATTCAGAACGGATTACAGCATATAAACAAACACAGGCAAAACATTCAATGCCTTTTTACAATGAAATACAATGAGACACAAATACACAGACAAAGGCAAAGGCTTCTCCTTTCATTCCTGGCTTTGGAGGCGGTGTTCATCTCCGACTCTGGGAGAGAGGCTCCTTCTCCCCAAGGGGACTCTGATTGGATTACAACATATAAACAAACACAGGCAAACATTCAATGCCTTTTTACAATGAAATACAATGAGACACAAAAGCACAGACAAAGGCAAAGGCTTCTCCTTTCATTCCTGGCTTTGGAGGCGGTGCTCATCTCCGACTCTGGGAGAGGTGCTCTTCTCCCCAAGGGGACTCCAATTGGATTACAACATATAAACAAACACAGGCAAACATTCAATGCCTTTTTACAATGAAATACAATGAGACACAAAAGCACAGACAAAGGCAAAGGCTTCTCCTTTCATTCCTGGCTTTGGAGGCGGTGTTCATCTCCGACTCTGGGAGAGAGGCTCCTTCTCCCCAAGGGGACTCTGATTGGATTACAACATATAAACAAACACAGGCAAAACATTCAATGCCTTTTTACAATGAAATACAATGAGACACAAATACACAGACAAAGGCAAAGGCTTCTCCTTTCATTCCTGGCTTTGGAGGCAGCGCTCATCTCCGACTCTGGGAGAGGTGCTCTTCTCCAGCCTGAGCCGCTCCTACTTCAAGGATCGGACCCATATCCAGTCCCTCTTCACCTTCATCACAGGTGAGGGTGATGATGATAATAATAATAATAATAATAATAATAATAATAATAATAATAATAATAAATAACACTTTATTTGTATCCCGTCGTTCTCCCCGAGGGGACTCTTAGTGGATTACAGCATATAAACAAACACAGGCAAGCATTCAGTGCCTTTTTACAATGAAATACAACGAGACACAAATACACAGACAAAGGCAAAGGCTTCTCCTTTCATTCCTGGCTTTGGAGGCAGCGCTCATCTCCGACTCTGGGAGAGGTGCTCTTCTCCAGCCTGAGCCGCTCCTACTTCAAGGATCGGGCCCACATCCAGTCCCTCTTCAGCTTCATCACAGGTGAGGATGGTAATAACAACAACAACAACAACAACAACTATAATTAATAACACTTTATTTATATTCCGCCCTTCTCCCTGAGGGGACTCTTAGTGGATTACAGCGTATAAACAAACACAGGCAAAACATTCAATGCCTTTTTGCAATGAAATACAAGGAGACACAAATACACAGGCAAAGGCAAATGCTTCTCCTTTCATTCCCGGCTCTGGAGGCGGTGCTCATCTCCATTACTAAGCCAAAGAGCCGGCGTTGTCTGTAGACACCTCCAAGGTCATGTGGCTGGCGTGACTCAATGGACCGCCGTTACCTTCAAGCCAGAGCAGTATTCAATGCCTTTTTCCAATGAGACACAAATACACAGACAAAGGCAAAGGCTTCCCCTTTCATTTACTCTGGGGGCTGGTGCTCATCTCCATTTCTAAACTGAAGAGCCAGCGTTGTCCGTAGACACTCTAAGGTCATGTGGCCCGCATGACTGCATGAAGCACTGTTACCTTAACACCAGAGCAGTACCAAATCTACTCAAATTTGCATGTTTTCGCAGTGAAATACAATGGGACACACAGACAAAGGCAAAGGCTTCTCCTTTCATTTCCGGCTCTGGAGGCGGTGCTCAACTCCATTACTAAGCCGAAGAGCTGCCGTTGCCCGTAGACACCTCCAAGGTCGTGTGACTAGCATGACTGAAAGGCGCGCTGTTACCTTCCCACAGAAACGGTACCTATTCATCTACTCACATACACATGTTTTCGAACTGCTAGGTTGGCAGAAGCTGGGGCTAACAGCGGGAGCTCAACAGCAAGTTCGGTCAGCAAGTTCAGCAGATCACCGGTTTAACCCACTGCACCACTGGGGGCTCCTTGAAGCATGTAACCTGATAAATTTACCATAGCTTGGGTTGCGGCTAACGTGTATGTTTACGATTTTGACCCATTGTTTACTTCCCTCCTGGTTTCAGGGACCAAACTGGACAGCTCTGGCGTGGCCTTTGCGGTGGTGGGGGCCTGCCAGGCGCTGGGGCTGCTGGATGTCCACCTGGCGCTCTCCGAGGACCACGCCTGGGTCGTCTTCGGCAAGGACGGCGAGCAGACGGCGGAGGTGACGTGGCACGGAAAGGGCAACGAGGACCGGCGGGGGCAGACCGTCAATGCCGGCGTGGCCGAACGGGTAACAACCAACACGGGGAGGGGGTATCTCCCACGCAAAAGAGCCGGCCAGCCACCTCTGCTAAACATAATAATAATAATAATAATAATACCTTTATTTATACCCCGCCACCATCTCCCCAAGGGACTCGGAGCGGCTTACATGAGGCCAAGCCCAACAACACGTCAATAAAACAAGAAAGCAATAAACAAAAACAATAAATACAATACAATTAATATAAATCACATATCTATATCTATATATATATATAATAAAAGTCAATGTTTGTATGCGGAGGGCGGACGTAGATAAGGAGGTGTATGTGGCAGCTTTCTAACTGGCTGCCATTGTGGCACAATTTGCATATGGTCTCTGATTGGCCAGCCAGGAACATTCCAAGATTCTGAAGTGACAAAGAGAGGAGAGTAAAAGGCCTGAGGCTGTGTCAGAAAATGACCAGTACAGACCAAACTTGGCACACAGAGCCTGCAAGACCCACTCTACATCCTAATGCAGTTTGGAGGGGGATGGACCATGGATGATGGGACTTGCAGTACCATCACTCACATTCTAAGACCGCTGTGACCCTCATCCAATGACTGATCAAGACCAAACTTGGCACACACAGCCCCCATGACCCACTCTACAACCTGGTGCTGTTTGGAGGAGGACAGACCATGGATAATGGGACTTACAGTACCTTCACTCACTTCCTGAAACCACAGCGACACTCATCCAAATACCAATAAAAACCAAACTTGACACAGAGGGCTCCAATGGCCAACTCAACATTCTGGTGAGGTTTGGGAGAGAACCGACTATGGATGATGGGACTTGCAATACCTTAACTAACTTTCTGAGACCACTGCAACCCTCATCCAATGACGGATGAAGACCAAACTTGGAACACAGAGCCCCCACGACCCACTCTCCCTCCTGGTGCAGTTTGGAGGAGGATGGACCACAGTTAGTGCAGTACCTTCACTAACTTCCTGAGACCACTGCGAGACATATAAATAACTGATAAAGACCAACCTTGATACACAATTCCTTTCTCAAATAACCCGGGCAGCGCCGGTTCCCCAAGCTAGTAAACAATAAACAATAACACACAAGGATTTACAAACCTATGGCCTCTTGACAGAGCTGGCTGTACCTGAAAGGCTCCTGCCTGTGCTGCACCCGCCAGATGGAGGTGGCCTTCATGGTCTGCGCCATTAACCCCTCCATCGACCTCCACTCGGACAGCTTGGAGTTGCTGCAACTGCAACAGGTGAGCCAAATATGTCGGATTCCCTCCGCGTCGGGACACAACACCCATCACGGGGATTTCTATCCTTCTCACTTGCTTCTCGGTCTTTTCCTTTGCAGAAATTGCTTTGGGTCCTCTACGATTTAGGCCACCTGGAAAAGTGAGTATTTCTCTTCGGTTCGCGTGCGATCAAAGCGCAATGCCAAAGAGTCATTGGTTGCTTTGATTTCCTTCTCAGGTATCCGATGGCCTTGGGGAACTTGGCCGACTTGGAGGAACTTGAGCCCACGCCTGGACGCCCTGACCCGCTCTTCCTTTATCACCAGGTATTGTTTGTATTTCCGTTGTGTGTTGACATCGAGTGTGAGAGAGGAGGAGAGGATCTTGGGAAGACTGACTTGGCCACGGTAGTCCACGCTCTGGTTACATCCCGTTTAGACTACTGCAACGCTCTCTACGTGGGGTTGCCTTTGAAGACGGCTCGGAAGCTTCAATTGGTTCAACGTTTGGCAGCCATGATACTAACAGGAGCGGAGCGCAGAGAGCATACAACTCCTCTGCTGCGCCAGCTCCACTGGCTACCAATTTGCTACCGGGCACAATTCAAAGTGCTGGCGTTGGCCTATAAAGCCCTAAACGGTTCTGGCCCAAGTTACCTATCCGAACGCATCTCCGCCTATGAACCCACCAGGACTTTAAGATCCTCTGGGGAGGCCCTGCTCTCGATCCCGCCTGCATCACAGGCACGTTTGGCGGGGACGAAGGACAGGGCCTTCTCTGTGGTGGCCCCTCGGCTGTGGAACGCCCTTCCCATGGACGTTATATCAGCCCCCTCGTTAATGGTGTTTCGAAGAAAACTGAAAACCTGGCTATTTGAACAGGCGTTCGGAGAAGCAGTGCAATGAATATAATGAATATAGGAAAACGGAATTATGGATGACGAGTTGGATCACGATTCTAGTTACGAGATGTTAATGTGTTGTTTATTGATGTTAATTACTTAGTATACTACGGTGTTAATTGTTTTTAAATAGTGTATGTTGTTAGCACTGAATTTTTGCTCTTGTTGTTAACCGCGTTGAGTCGCCTACGGGCTGAGAAACTGCGGTATACAAATAAAGTAAATAAATAAATAAATAAATTGGACCAGCGGTTCTCAACTTGGGGGTTGCGACCCCCCGAGGGGTCGGCTGGCCATTTCAGAGGGGTCGTGACTCCCGAAATAGCGGCCAGGCTCCGGGACCACCCTCTTCTTGCCCCCTTCAAGGCCTCCGCCACTGGTGGAAACCTCCAAAAGAGCGAGAAGAGCGTAGGGCAGAAGGAGCAGCAAGGCTTGCACTCGCCCTTCTCCTCTGGGCTCTTCTTCCTCGTCCTCTCCGTTTGGGGACCTCCAAATGGAGAGGAGGAGGGGGAAGATCCTGGAAGAGAAGGAGGACAAGCCTCCCTGCTTCTGCCCCCCTGTGCCACCCTCTTCTCACCCCCTTCGAGGCCTCCGCCACTAGTGGAAGCCTCGATAAGGGTGAGAGGAGCGTGGGGTAGCAGGAGCAGCAAGGCTTTCACTCGCCCTTCTCCTCTGGGCTCTTCTTCCTCGTCCTCTCTGTTTGGGGACCTCCAGTATTTTCTGTTGGTCATGTGGGTTCTCTGTGCCAACTTTGGTCCAGTTMTGTAATTTGTGGGGGGGTCTCAGTRGTCTGTGGAAGTCAGAGCTGAATCGGTTGAAGATACTGCAAATCTCATCATCCATTGTCCATACTCCCYCATAAGTCTGCTCTTATGGAATCAATGACGTGGTAGGGGAACAAGCTGTCTGTGCTGAAGGAGTCAGATTATGGAAGTCAAGATCCAGAAGTCTGCTCTTATGGAATCAATGACGTGGGGTAGGGGAACACGCTGTCTGTGCTGAAGGAGTCARATTATGGAAGTCAAGATYCMRAAGTCTGCTCTGATGGAATCAATGACGTGGTAGGGGAACAAGCTGTCTGTGCTGAAGGAGTCAGATTATGGAAGTCAAGATCCAGAAGTCTGCTCTTCGTTTTGTAATCCAAATATCTGAAACTTCGTAATTATTTCGTTCAGATTTGATCCATTAGTGGTAAAGCGGAACATTCTGAGACTCGTTTCTCCATCATTTGTACTGCTCTCGGAATGAAACTTGGCACGCTTGTAGGCAACATTTATGACTTTAAGCCTGCCAAGTTTCAGAATGTTTCGCTCGTCCACCAATATTTAGGAAACCAATTTCTGAGCGCTAGAGACATAGCTAACGAGGAGGTAAAAGTCCCAAGTACAGGATATGTAGTCAGATGAAGCATTGTTTAGAATCAAGTCAAGATCTTGTCCCAGTTCATGGAAACCTTGCTTGGAAAATTCATGTTTAAGTGCATTTGACTCCTTTATTCCTGCTTATATTCCTACGTAATTGGATTTACCTATTTCTTTAAAGTGCTTTTTTACCTTACTCATTTTGTTTTTATGGACTTTGCTGTACTATTACCCTGGATTACTTTGTTCTTGCTTATCTTCCTACCTAATTGGATTTACCTATTTCTTTAAAGTGATTTTTACCTTACTGCTTTTGTTTTTATGAACTTTGCTGGACTATTACCCTGGATTACTTTGTCCTTGCTTATCTTCCTACCTTATTGGATTTATCTATTTCTTCAAAGTGCTTTTTTACCTTATTGCTTTTGTTTTTATGGACTTTGCTGTACTATTACCCTGGATTACTTTGTTCTTGCTTATCTTCCTACCTAATTGGATTTACCTATTTCTTTAAAGTGCTTTTTTACCTTACTGCTTTTGTTTTTATGGACTTTGCTGGACTATTACCCAGGACTACTTTGTTCCTGCTTATCTTCCTACCTAATTGGATTTACCTATTTCTTTAAAGTGCTTTTTTCCCTTACTGCTTCTGTTTTTATGGGCTTTGCTGGACTATTACCCTGGACTACTTTTTTCCTGCTTATCTTCCTACCTAATTGGACTTACCTATTTCTTTAAAGTGTTTTTTTACCTTACTGCTTTTTTAATTATCTTCGTTAAAAGATTGTTTCCCATCCAACGGTGTGGTGTTTAAAGTCAGAGGACTTTTCCTGTTTAGGAGTGCTTCAGTGGCAACCTTGGGCTTTCTGGACGTGATACATTCCCCTTTTCCTTCTTTTAGGGTATCAATTCAGCCAAGCAGTACTACCACAATGAACATATCTATCCGTACATGTATTTGGCTGGGTACCATTGCCGGAACAAAAACGTCAAGGAGGCGCTGGAGGCCTGGGCCGACTCCGCCACCGTTATCCAAGAGTGAGTCCTTTTCTCTGCTATTCCGCTTCATTCGGTAGCGTTTGACCTCAATTGAACTGCCAGGGCTCAATGCGATGGCATAATGGGAGTTTTGTTTTCCACGCTCCTTAGCCATTTGTGCCAAAGAGTGCTGGGAAGTCGCCAAACTACAACTTGTTATTGTGGTTGTTATTATTATATTTATTTATACCCTGCTTCATCTCCTCCAAAGGAGACTCAAAGCAGCTTAACATTATTATTATTATTATTATTATTATTATTATTATTATTATATTTATTCCTATATCTATGCTGAAGAAGATGAATTAAAGTGGGGGTCAAATGGCATTCGTTCTACAGCATAGATAATAATAATAATAATAATAATAATAATAATAATAATAATAATAATGTTGTAGGTTTTTATACAACTTGGATTGATTACAAAAAAAAGCATTTGACTCGCTGCCACATTGTTGGATTATCAAATGTCTAGATGTCATCGGAGTTTGTGAAAATATTAGAAAGTTCACCGAAAATGCGATGAAACAATGGAAAACTGAGTTGTTCGTGGGCAACGAAAGTTATGGAACTGTTAACATCAAGAGAGGAATTTTCCAGGGTTTTTTCGGGCTATATGGCCATGTTCTAGAGGCATATAGCCCGAAAAAAACCTACAACAACCCAGTGATTCCGGCCATGAAAGCCTTCGACAATACAATAATAATAATAATAATAATAATAATAATAATAATAATAATAATGTTGTAGGTTTTTATACAACTTGGATTGATTACAAAAAAGCATTTGACTAATTGCCACATTGTTGGATCATCAAATGTCTAGATGTCATCGGAGTTTGTGAAAATATTAGAAAGTTCACCGAAAATGCGATGAAACAATGGAAAACTGAGTTTTTCGTGAGCAACAAAAGCTATGGAACTGTTAATATCAAGAGAGGAATTTTCCAGGATTTTTTCGGGCTATATGGCCATGTTCTAGAGGCATATAGCCCGAAAAAACCTACAAAACCCAGTGATTCCGGCCATGAAAGCCTTCGACAATACAATAATAATAATATAATAATAAAACAAACAAATCTCTATACAACTTGGATTGATTACAAAAAAGCATTTGACTAACTGCCACATTGTTGGAGTATCAAATGTCTAGATGTCATCGGAGTTTGTGAAAATATTAGAAAGTTCACCAAAAATGCAATGAAACAATGGAAAACTGAGTTGTCCATGGGCAATGACAGCTATGGAACTGTTAACATCAAGAGAGGAATTTTCCAGGGCAACTCACTGTCCTCTAGACCATGGCCATATAGCCCGAGAAAACCTACAACAACCCAGTGATTCCGGCCATGAAAGCCTTCGACAATACAATAATAATAATAATAATAATAATAATAATAATAATAATAATGTCTCAAGGTTTGAGGTAGATTACAACATTGCCCAAAACACATAATCAAAACACATAATAATTTTCCATAAAATACACATATTAAAACAAACTTCCACAAAAATGTTTCTGGGGGAAGTTATTATTATTATTATTATTATTATTATTATTATTATTATTTTAAAGGTCTCAATAAATCCCTTTTGAGAGTTCCTATCTGCATTTAGGAGGCAAACTTCCTTCGAAATGCAAGGAAATAGGCAGGGTTGTTGTTGTTGTTGTGTTGTATTATTATTATTATTATTATTATTATTATTATTATTATTATTTAAAAGGTCTCAATAAATCCCTTTCGAGAGTTCCTATCTGCATTTAGGAGTCAAGCTTCTTTTGAAATGCAAGGAAATAGGCGTTGTTGTTGTTGTTGTTGTTGTTGTTATTATTTAAAAGGTCTCAATAAATCCCTTTCTAGAGTTCCGATCTGCATTTAGGAATTATTTCCTTGCATTCCTTTGAAATGCAAGGAAATAGGCGTTGTTGTTTTTTTATTATTATTATTATTATTATTATTATTATTATTATTATTATTTAAAAGGTCTCAATAAATCCCTTTCGAGAGTTCCTATCTGCATTTAGGAGGCAAGCTTCCTTCGAAATGCAAGGAAATAGGCAGTTGTTGTTGTTGTTGTTGTGGTTGTTGGAAATAGGCGTTGTTGTTAGGGCTGGGTGGTTTCGTTTCGTAATTTCGTAATTTGTTAAAAATTCGTTTTGTTTTTTTGTTTTTTTTTTTTTTTTTTTTGTTTTTTTTTTACGAAGCGATAAAGAACCATTCAGGAGCATCTCGTAATTGCTTCGTATTCGTTTCGTATTCGTTTCGAAATTGTTTCAAAATCGTTTCGTTATTATTTCCGCATGTCTGGGGCAAGTTTTATAGTTGTTGTTTGTTTAATCAGTGAAAAAAAATTATAAATATCACACCAACAGTCAACAACAGAGGGAGAGGGAAGCTTCAGAAGTTCCCCCTGTCCCATTTGGGGGTTTTTTTAGCGTATTGCGCAATCACGTCTGCCATTTCAATTCGTATTCATTTCGAAATCGTTTCGTAATTGTTTCGTAATTTACAAAATTTCATAAATATCGAACTTTTTTAAAGAAAAATTCGGAATTCTTTTAAATATCGAAACGCAAAAAACCCCAAAAAACGAATCGAGTTTAGAAACAAATTTTTCCGTGGTTGCCCAGCCCTAGTTGTTGTATTATTATTATTATTATTATTATTATTATTATTATTATTATTTAAAAGGTCTCAATAAATCCCTTTTGAGAGTTCCTATCTGCATTTAGGAGGCAAGCTTCCTTTGAAATGCAAGGAAATAGGCGTTGTTGTTCCTGTTCCTGTTCCTGTTGTTCTTGTTATTATTATTATTATTATTATTTAAAAGGTCTCAATAAATCCCTTTCTAGAGTTCCTATCTGCATTTAGGAATTATTTCCTTGCATTCCTTTGAAATGCAAGGAAATACGCGTTGTTGTTGTTGTTGCTGTTATCATTATTATTATTTATACCCCACTTTATCTCTCCTGAAAAGTACTCAAAGCGGCTATGTATCTACTATTAATATTATAATGTATTGAAACAATAAGAGCCAGCTAATACCTCCCAACAAAGGATACCCCCAGGCAGGAAGCAGCCAGGCTGTGAAGCTGCAAGTCCATATAATTCTAATCAAGGTGGCCAATTGCAACATTCACACTTGTCTCAAGCCGACAAGAGTTCTTTCTCCAACCCTGGACATCATTCCACAGTTATATAAACCCAGTCTTCCTAGTTGCGACAGACCTCACAACCTGTGAGTATGCCTGCCATAGATGTGGGGAAAATGTCAGGAGAAAGTGCTTCTGTAACGTGGCCAGACAGCCTGGAAAACTCATAGCACTCTCTGACTAGCTCTTAAAAACCTTCTGCTTTCCTGATATGGAAGAGCCAGAAACGTAAAGGCACTTTAGGAAGGAACGGGGTTCAAACACCGACTGAACGAGCTCTTTCGCTTCCCCTTTTACCAGTTATAACTATTGCCGAGAAGACGAGGAGATCTACAAGGAGTTCTTCGACGTGGCCAACGATGTGATTCCCAATTTATTAAAAGAGGTGGCCAGCTTGGCCGACATGGCCGAAGAGAAAGGAAGCGGCGACAGAGGAGAGGTGAGGCGGAAATTGGGGTCCCGTTTCATTGCGTAATCTGAATCTCTGAAGCTTCGTAATTCTTTCGTTATGATTGGTTTGACTAGCGACAACAGGGAATATTTCGAGGCTCGTTTCTCCGTCATTTGTGTGGCGATCAGGATGAAACTTGGCACACTTGTTGGCAACATTGACAACTTCAAGTCTGCCAAGTTTCAGAATGTTTCAATCATCCCGTTTCATTTCGTAGTCCGAATCTCCGAAACTTCGTAATTCTTTCATTACGATTGGTTCGATTAGCGACAACGGGGAATATTTCGAGGCTTGTTTCTCCGTCCTTTTTATGGCGATCAGGATGAAACTTGGCACACCTGTAGGCAACATTGACAACTTCAAGTCTGCCAAGTTTCAGAATATTACGATCATCCCGTTTCATTTCATAATCCGAATCCCCAAAGCTTCGTCATTCTTTCGTTACGATTGGTTTGATTAGCAACAACGGGGAATATTTCAAGGCTCGTTTCTCCGTCATTTGTATAGCGATAAGGATGAAACTTGGCACACTTGTTGACAACATTGACAACTTCAAGTCTGCCAAGTTTCAGAATATTTCGGTCATCCACTTGAGTTTTAAGAATTTTTTAAAAGCTTAAAATTTTTTTAGAAACAGCAGCATGAGAAATCTCACAAGCAAGGGAGCCAAGGTCACAGAAATGACTTCATGGCTTTCGGTCCTTAAATCAGAGAAGTATCCCCTTTAACATTCAGATCAGGCAACACTGCAAAGCAGTAAAGATCTCGAACCTTCTTTCCAGTTCAGTCTAAGATCTTGGGAGTTTGGATTCATGTTTTAGGAAGTTTCTATAGTCTTGCTTTTGGATTCATGTTTATGTGTTCAGAGGCTCCTTTCTCTGTCATTTTTATAACAATCTGAATGAAACTTGGCACGCTCGTAGACAACATTGAGGACTTTAAGTCTGCCAAGTTTCAGAATGTTTTGGTCATCTGATTTTTAAGAATTTTTAAAAACATTTTGCAAATAATTTTTAAAATGAAATTTCAAGACTTGTTTCTCCATCATTTTTATGGCTACCAGGATGAAACTTGGCACACTCATAGACAACATTGATGACTTTAAGTCTGCCAAGTTTCAGAATGTTTCAGTCATCTGCAGATTTTTTTTTAAAAAAATATTTTTTTATAAATGATTTTTTAAAAATGTTGAGGCTTGTTTCTCCATCATTTTTATGGCTACCACGATGAAATTTGGCACACATGCAGGAAACATTGATGACTTTAAGCATGCCAAGTTTCAGTAGCTTTCTGGTAAGTTTCAGAATATTTCAGTCATCCACTGATTTTTAGGAAATTTTAAAAACTTTTTTACAAATAGTTTTTAATGAAATTTTGAGGCTCGATTTGCCATCATTTTTACGGCTACCAGGATGAAGCTTGGCACACTCGTAAACAGCATTGACAACTTTAAGTCTGCCAAGTTTCAGAATGTTTCTGTCATCTGCTGATTTTTAAGATTTTTAAAATACTTTTTACCAATAATTTTTAAATGAAATTTTGAGGCTCGTATCTCTGTCATTTTTATGGCTACCAGGATGAAACTTGGCACACATGCAGGCAATATTAACAACTTTAATCCTGCCAAGTTTCAGAATATTCCTGTCATCCGCTGATTTTTAGGAAGTTTTAAAATCCTTTTTAAAAAATAGTTTTTAAATGAACATTTGAAGCTTGTTTCTCTGTCATTTTTATGGCGATCAGGATGATTGATATATATATATATTAGGGCTGGGCGGTTTCGTTTCGTAAATTCGTAATTCGTTTAAAATTCGTTATGTTTTTTTATAACGAAGCGATAACGAACCATTCTGGAGCAACTAAAAAACGAAACGAATTTTTAAATTCATTTCGTAATTGTTTCTGACTCGTTATGTATTCGTTTCGTTATCGTTTTGAAGTTGTTTCGTTATTATTTCCGCATGTCTGGGGCAAGTTTTATAGTTGTTTTTTGTTTAATTAGTGAAAAAAAAATATTATATCACACCAACAGTCAACAACAGAGGGAGAGGGAAGCTTCAGAAGTTCCCCCTGTCCCATTTGGAGGTTTTTTAGCGTATTGCGCGGTCGCGTCCGCCATTAACGAATCGATTCGTTATTGTTTCGAAATTGTTTCGTAATCGTTTTGTAATTTTACGAAATTTCGTAAATTTCGAACTTTTTTAAAGAAAAATTTCGGAATTCTTTTAAAAATCGAAACGCAAAAACGAATCAAGTTTAGAAACAAATTTTTCTGTGGTTGCCCAGCCCTAATATATATATATATATATATATATATATATATATATATATATATATGTATATGTATATGTGTGTATATATATATATATATATATCTACAGGTTGAAACTCCAGAGAAGGAGACTCAACTGCAGCTTTGTCGGTTGCCTCACCTTCTGTTATTTTCTCTTTCTGATACAGGGTTCCCCATCCCAACATGGGGGGTCAGCCCTCCAGGACCCCGAGTGCTTTGCCCACCTCCTGCGCTTCTATGACGGCATCTGCAAGTGGGAAGAGGGCAGCCCCACGCCGGTCCTCCATGTCGGGTGGGCCACCTTCTTGGTCCAGTCCTTGAGCCGCTTCGATGGGACGGTGAGGTCTAAAGACGGGGGCTGTTGTTATTACATATATATAATATTTAAGTTTTATTTTTCTCAAATGTTGTTCATAACCTGGATTCTTGAGAGTTTGACGCAGTGATGTGTTATTGTTGTTATTACAGTATTATTCTTCTTATTATGTTTACTTTTGGAACCCTTTAGGTCCGGCAGAAGGTGACCCTCGTGAGCCGGGACGTGGAAGCGAACGAGGACGACGACCAAGGCAGCGAAGACCCTCGGGAAGGCCGCCGCCGGGGCCCCCGACGAGAGTCCAAGCCCGAAGAGCCTCCATTGCCCAAGAAGGTGACCGAGCGCCGGCGTCCGAGCTCCAGCCAGAGGGTGGACAGGCCGCCTCCGGAGAAGGAAGAAGGCCCCGGCGGGGGTCCGAGTCCCCCTCCGGAGGGTCCCATCCTCACCTTCCAGAGCGAGAAGATGAAGGGCATGAAGGAGTTGCTGGTGGCGGCCAAGATCAACTCCAGCGCCATCAAACTCCAGCTCACGGCGCAGTCCCAAGTGCAGCTGAAGAAGCAGAAGGCGTCCGCACCACGGGACTACACGTTGGCCTTCCTCAAAAGACCCCGCAAGTCCCTCTGAGGCCAGTTGGGGGCAGCAGCGCTGTCTTCAACGGCAGGGACATCTCTGGCATTTTCAGGGACCATAGAAACTCATCTGTCTGGGAAGGGGACAAATCCTTTCCGTTGGAGGTCTTCTCCTCCCCCCAACTACTGAAAACCACAGAGTCTTGGTCACAGTTGCAGAGATTTCATAGCACAGCCTCTGATGTTGAATCTCACTAGCTTGGGTGTCACTCTGTATCCTATATTAGTTTCCGAATAGAGTAATAAAAAGTCAGAGTTCTAACTCCTCCCAGGACTAACAATTAAAACTTGTAGGAAAAATTGGACTGTAGTTCTTGTTTACTTTATGCCTTCCGTCTGTGTTCTTTCCTGCCTTGTCTTCCATACACACGTGGTAGGGTTTCTTCAACTTGTAAAACCAACTTGTAACCAACTTCCAAATGGCTGCACAATGGGATGGACTGTCTCAAAGGCAAGTAGATAATTCCAAATCCCCGAAACAGTGCAGAGTCTTGGTCACAGTTGCAGCGATTTCATAGCCCAGCCTCCGATCTTGTATCTCACCAGCTTGGGTGTCACTCTATGTCTATATCCTATATTATTATTTTCCTAATAGAGTAATAAAAAGTCAAAGTTCTAACTCCTCCCAGGACTAACAATTGGAGGCTTAATTCAACTGTACTTCTTGTTTACTTCCTGCCTTCCTTCTGTGTCCTTTCTTGCCTTGTCTTCCATACACACGTAATACGATTTCTTCAACTTGTAAGAAATCCTACTTGTAAACAACTTCAAGCACCAACTTCCAAATGGTTGCACAATGGGATGTACTGTCTCAAAGGCAAGTAGTTAATTCCAAATCCCCGAAACAGTGCAGAGTCTTGGTCGCAGTTGCAGAGATTTCATAGCACAGATTCTTTCTTATCACCTTCTTCTAAATGGTTGCACAATAGGATGGACTGTCTCAAAGGCAAGTAGTTAATTCCAAATCCCCGAAACAGCGCAGAGTCTTGGTCACAATTGCAGAGATTTCATAGCACAGCCTCTGATGTTGAATCTCACTAGCTTGGGTGTCACTCTGTATCCTATATTAGTTTCCGAATAGAGTAATAAAAAGTCAGAGTTCTAACTCCTCCCAGGACTAACAATTAAAACTTGTAGGAAAAATTGGACTGTAGTTCTTGTTTACTTTATGCCTTCCGTCTGTGTTCTTTCCTGCCTTGTCTTCCATACACACGTGGTAGGGTTTCTTCAACTTGTAACCAACTTCCAAATGGCTGCATAATGGGATGGACTGTCTCAAAGGCAAGTAGTAAATTCCAATCCCCGAAACACTGCAGAGTCTTGGTCACAGTTGCAGAGATTTCATAGCACAGATTCTTTCTTACCACCTTCTTCCAAATGGTTGCACAATGGGATGGACTGTCTCAAAGGAGAATAGTTAATTTCAATCCCCGAAACAGAGCAGAGTCTTGGTCCCAGTTGCAGAGATTTCATAGCACAGCCTCTGATGTTGAATCTCACTAGCTTGGGTGTCACTCTGTATCTTATATTACTATCCTAATAGAGTAATAAAAAGTCAGAGTTCTAACTCCTCCCAGGACTAACAATTAAAACTTGTAGGAAAAATTGGACTGTAGTTCTTGTTTATGTCTTCCTTCTGTGTTCTTTCCATACACACGTGGTAGGGTTTCTTCAACTTGTAACCAACTTCAAGCACCAACTTCCAAATGGCTGCACAATGGGATGGACTGTCTCAAAGGAGAATAGTTAATTTCAGTTACGAGCCGTGACAAGAGGCAGGCAAGAAATTATTATTATTATTATTATTATTATTATTATTATTATTATTATTCTACTTCCAATCCCTGAAAAATTGCAGAGTCTTGGTCATGGTTAGCAGAGATTTCATAGCGCAGCCTCCGAACTTTTATCTCACCAGCTTGAATAAGCACACTTCCTCTATCACTTCCTCCTCCTCCAGCTGCATAGTGGGATGGACTTTCTCAAAGGCAAGTAGTTAGTTCCAATCCCCGAAATGTTGCAGAGTCTTGGTCGCAGTTAGCAGAGATTTCATAGTGCAGCCTCCGACCTTGTATCTCACCAGCTTGAATAAGCACACTTCCTCTATCACATCCTACTCCTCCAGCAGTGGGATGGACATTCTCAAAGGCAAGTAGTTAGTTCCAATCCCTGAAATGTTGCAGAGTCTTGGTCGCAGTTAGCAGAGATTTCATAGTGCAGCCTCCGACCTTGTATCTCACCAGCTTGAATAAGCACACTTCCTCTATCACATCCTACTCCTCCAGCAGTGGGATGGACATTCTCAAAGGCAAGTAGTTAGTTCCAATCCCTGAAATGTTGCAGAGTCTTGGTCGCAGTTAGCAGAGATTTCATAGTGCAGCCTCCGACCTTGTATCTCACCAGCTTGAATAAGCACACTTCCTCTATCACATCCTACTCCTCCAGCAGTGGGATGGACATTCTCAAAGGCAAGTAGTTAGTTCCAATCCCTGAAATGTTGCAGAGTCTTGGTCACAGTTAGCAGAGATTTCATAGCGCAGCTTCCGACCTTGCATCCCACCAGCTTGAAAAAAGCACACCTCCTCTATCACTTCCTACTCCTCCAGTAGTGGGATGGACTTTCTCAAAGGCGAGTAGTTAGTTCCAATCCCTGAAATGTTGCAGAGTCTTGGTCACAGTTAGCAGAGATTTCATAGCACACGCTTTGACCTTTGAAAAATACAGTTCTTTCACCTTAGACATTCCATAGGTATATAAGCTCCATTTTCCTAGTTTCCAGCAAACCTCGCAATCTCTGAGGATGCCAGCCATAGATGTGGGCGAAATGTCAGGAGAGAATGCTTCTGGAGCCCAGTGATTCCGGACATGAAAGCCTTCGACAATACATTTTGTGTTTTTCTTTTTTTTCACGGGCGGAGAGGAACGCCTTTGTGCCAAAACACAACTCACTGTTGAGATCAGAAAGCCTGCGAGCGAATAGTGTGTCGGAATCCACCCTGAGGGTTCTCTTCCTCCTCCGGGATGCTTCTGCTGATCAGAGCCGACAGCCCCGTTTCATGTTCCTTTCCAAAGCCGACTCCTGCGACATGCTCCATCGCTCCGGATCAGCGTCAGAAGAAGAACAAAAGACGCGCCAGGTCTGTTTCCTCAAGCCTTGGAGACTTCAAAGGCTTCTCTTCCTTTTCTTTGGAGAGATGAATAAAGATGTGTTGCTTTGGAGCGTTTCAAGCTGTAGTTTTACGAAAAAACTAGCCGTCCCCTGCCAGGCGTTGCTGTGGCCCAGTCTGGTGATCTGGAAAATAAAGTCATGAGAAAGTGCTGGTTTCTAATATATGTCATTTCTTTATGCTTGTGGGTAAAGAGTATTTCTTGCTGTTTCTTTGTCAGTGTTGATGTGGAGATTGTCTGGTTGCCATACTCTAGAACATGCAACATAGAATTGTCCTTCTTTAGGGGTCCCTTTCAAATCTATGATACTATATATGTGTGTCTATATATCTATATCTATTAGGCTTGGGCAATCCATGGTTCTAAATGGTTCTAAAGTACTTACAAAACTAAAGTTCTGGCGGTGAAAATTTCAGAACTCTAACAAAACTTTCAAAATTTAATTATTATTTCATTATTGGCGATTTTATGACAGAACCAATTAGGAACTGCCATTTATAATGAAATTTTGAGAGTTTTGTTAGAGTTCTGAAATTTTCACCACCAGAACTTTAGTTTTGTAAGTACTTTAGAACCATTTAGAACCATGGATTGCTCAAACCTAGTGTGTATATATATACACACACACATACATTCCTTGAGGCTCCACTTGAAACTTTGCCTTCAAAAAGGGTTCCTCTGCTGAAAAAGTTGGAGAACCCCTTAATCTCGGATTTTATTGGTATCTGGACAAAGAAAGTCAACTTGTCTTAGGGGCTCTTTGTAGTAGGGACTCTTAAGCAACCAGAAATTGCATGTATCCAGCACCTACTAACAGTGGGATGTGATTGTCGAAGGCTTTCATGGCTGGAATCACTAGGTTCTTGTGGGTTTTTTCGGGTTATAGGGCCATGTTCTAGAGGCATTTCTCCTGACGTTTCGCCTGCATCTAGCAACAGCAAAACAGCAGAGAGGAAACAACCAAGCACATCTTAACACCTCTCAACAAGACATTCCCCCAGGCTCAGCCAGGCCTTCAAATGGTAATGAAGGTGGTCAGTTGAAACATTCACACCTAGCTCCAGCAGACAAGAGTCCTTTGTCTCACCCCACAGATCATTCCACGGATATATTAACCCTTTTTTCCTAGTTCCAACAGACCTCACAACCTCTGAGGATAGATGCAGGCGAAATGTCAGGAGAAATGCTATCATATCCCCTCTCAGCCTTCTCTTCTTCAGGCTAAACATGCCCAGCTCCTTAAGCCGCTCCTCATAGGGCTTGTTCTCCAGACCCTTGATCATTTGAGTCGCCCTCCTCTGGACACATTCCAGCTTGTCAATATCTCTCTTGAATTGTGGTGCCCAGAATTGGACACTTTGATGGCCTGGCAGTGCCAGGAGCAATCTTTTGTTGAGAGGTGATTAGATGTCCTTGTTTGTTTCCTCTCTGTTGTTTTGCTGTTCTAATTTTAGAGTTTTTTAATACTGGTAGCCAGATTGTGTTCATTTTCATGGTTTCCTCCTTTGTGTTGAAATTGTCCACATGCTTGTGGATTTCAATGGCTTCTCTGTGTAGTCTCTCAACAAAAGATTGCTCCAGGCACTGCCAGGCCATCAAATGCTAATCAATAGGTTTGGGTAACAACGGAAAAAATTGTTTCTAAACTCGTTTCGTTTTTAGGGGGTCCATTGTGTTTCGTTTTTTTAAAGAATTCTGAATTTTTTCTTTAAAAAATGTCAATTTACGAAATTTCGTAAATTTCAAATTGATTCGTTAATGGCGGACGCGATTGCGCAATATGCTAAAAAAAACCTCCAAATGGGAGAGGGGGAACTCCTGAAGCTTCCCTCTCCCTCTGTTGTAGACTGTTGGTGTGATAAAACAAACAACAACTATATTATATTATATTATATTATTATATATTATATTATTATTTATATTATATTATATTATATTATATTATATATATCATTATTTTATCTATATTATATAATTTATTTTTATTATTGTATCTATATTATATAATTATTAATTACTATTATTATTATTGTATCTATATTATATAATTATATAATTATTAATTATTATATCTATATTACATCATTGTTTGATTTATTATTTTATGTATTATTAATAATTATTATTTATCAATATTATATAATTATTATTATATTATATTATTATAGTATTATTTATATTATTATATTATTATTTATATATTATATATTATTATATATTATTGTATATTATATTATTATATATATTATATTACGAAAATAATTACGAAATAATTACGAAAATTGGAAAAATTGTTTCGATTCTTAATTACTCCTCACACTATTCCAAAATGGCTCAATATCGGATCGTAAGCTAATTTAAATACGAATTAATAATGAATTACGAAATTAACGAACGAAACCGCCCAAGCCTACTAATCAAGGTGGTCAGTTGAAACATTCACACCTAGCTCCAGCAGAGAAGAGTCCTTTGTCTCACTCCACAGATCATTCCACGGATATATTAACCCTTTTTTCCTAGTTCCAACAGACCTCACAACCTCTGAGGATGCTTGCCATAGATGCAGGCGAAACGTCAGGAGAGAATGCCTCTAGACCATGGCCATGTAGCCTGAAGAAACCTACAACAACCCAAAGAAAGTCAACTTGTCTTAGAGGCTCTTAAGCAACCGGAAATTGCATGTATCCGGCACCTACTAAGAGTAGGATGAGAGCTTGCTACTGTATCCACTCTGTTTGGGAGAATGTATCTTTGGAGGCTCTCTCTGTGCCAAAATGCGCCTGGAACTTTTGGGGTAGCTTGGCACCCCCAAAGCGCGCTCTGCACATGCTCAGGAGCCTCTTGCCCCCCCCCCCCTCCAAGGCTGGGGAGGCTTGGTGGGCAGGAGCAGGCGGCGCTGGGCCCTCCTCCTTGGCTTCCTTCCTGCTTGCTGAGGCTGGGATCCCTCCCTCCCTCTCCGCCCCAGAGAGGCGGCCCTTCCTCCGGGGTTGGCCGGGCCCTGGCTCCGGGAGGGGGGCAACATGAGCGCCCTCCGAGACGTCTCCCTCCAGGACCCCCGCCTCCGCTACGAACTGCTCCAAAGGATCGGCTCGGGCACCTATGGAGACGTCTATAAGGTGCGCGCCATGCAGCCAGGTGCCCCCCATTGCGCCCTAGGACGCACGGTTTGGAGACGTCTAGGGGGACCCACTTGGGAGGGGGCTGGAGCGGACGCGAAGGGGAACAGCGACCCCGGAGTGGTGTCGTTGGAAAGAGGAGAGTCAGGAGAACAGGATCCTATATTTACATGGGGTCCCAAGGGTCGTCCAGTCCGACCCCGGCCCCATTTGTAAGGGGGCGCAATCCAAGCGCTTCCAATTCACTTCCCAGAGAAGGAAGCTTGATGGCAATGGAGGGAGATACCCCAAAATGCGCCCTAGGACGCACGGTTTGGAGAAGTCTAGGGGGACCCACTTGGGAGGGGGCTGGAGCGGACGCCAAAGGGAACAGGGACCTCAGAGTATTTTAAAAATAAAAATTAAAAAAAAAAATGGAAAAAAAAAAAAGAAAGAAAAAATAAAGAAAGAAAGAAAGAAAGAAAGAAAA